TAAAATACATGTGTTAAGGAACAGGCAACAGAGATTGTCCCTTAGGCGGGGAGCTGATGAGTAAAGCAGACTTTCCCCCCCACTGTATACATTTGATACTGCATTAATTTGCATCATATGCATGTATCAACTAATTAATTGTAAAGCCAACAAAACCTTCGCTCAACTTAATAACAAAAGTAATAGAGGGACCCTCTGACTTATATATGGCTATTAGCTACCGCATAGATTCTGATATCCCAATATACCTTGCACTATAGCAAGGAACACGTGATCATTTGTGATCATTTCAGTAGTTACAAAAGATTACAAAAAGGGGAGAAGGGAGGAAAGGAAGGAAGGGAAAGAGGGAAGAATAGAAAGGAAAGGAAAATACAGGCTGGTATAATGAAGTTGGTGCCGGGCGTGGTGGCTCACACCTGTAATCACAACACCCTGGGAGGTCACAGTGGGTGGATCACTTGATCTCAGGAATTCTGAGACCAGCCTGGGCAACATGGAGAAACCCCATCTCAATGAAAAATACAAAAATTAGCCGAGCATAGTGGTGCACGCCTGAAGTCCCAGGTACTCAGGAGGCTGAGGTGGGAGGATCACTTGAGCCCAAGAGGTTAAGGCTGCAGTGAGTGGTGATTGCACCACCACACTCCAGCCTTTTGAAACAGCAAGAGCTTGTCTCAAAAATAGTGGCTCACACCTGTAATCCCAGCACTTCGGGAGGCCGAGGCAGGCAGATCATTTGAGGTCAGGAGTTCAAGACCAGCCTGACCTACATGGCGAAACCCTGTTTCTAATAAAAATACAAAAAATTAGCTGAGAGTGGTGTCACGTGCCTGTAATACCAGCTACCCAGGAGGCTGAGCCAGGAGAATCGCTTGAACTGGGGAGGTGGAGGTTGCAGTGAGCCAAGATTGTGCCACTGCACTCCAGCCTGGGCTACAAGCAAAAGTCTGTCTCAATAATAATAATAAAATAAAGTTAGTGATTTGTGCTAAGCCAATTTCCCTTTCGGGGAAAAATATCACATCAGAAAACTAAAAAATATTATTATTAAAAAGTATGAAACAGAATTTAAGAAAAAGACATGAAGTCAAGGGTAAATTGCCAATTGATAACAATATTTTAAAATACTTTGTGGAGGGAAGATCCATGTCATAAAGACTTAGAAAAAACAGAGAAGGAAAACAAGCCTATCACCTGTATCTATCTAAATCTCTAGTCATATCTCTATCATCTATCTATATTTATATACCTATGGCAGATAGTATGTCTAGATTAAATATATAGATACATAAAAATATTCATTCGAAGTCATTCTATACTAAATATCATTCGATAGTTTTGATTACAAAGTCGAAATACAGAAACGGAAGTCTTATATTATGCCATGGAAAGTGGATGACTCTCATCGTGCAAGTGCAGTCTGTGTCCAAAAGAGGGAGCAGTGAAATCACAGACAGCATCATTTCTGACTTTTTGCTTCTGATATTTCTCAAGAGCCAGAGGACAGTAGGGAACTGGGAAAGGAGAGTATCAGCATTTGGGTGAACAGATCTTTGGAGTGAGCGGTTGTCTCGCACACTGCAGCTTTAGAAGCACTGAGCAGAACACCCACCCACCTGTGATTTTCTAAGTCCTTTCCTTTAACCTAAGAATTAAATACTTTTAAACATTCAATCATTATCAGGATCATATCCTTGTTGCTAGAAGATTTTCGTTCTTCTTCTTTTTTTCCTTTTTTTAATAGAGACAGGGTTTCACCATGTTGGCCAGGCTGGTCTCAAACTCCTGACTTCAGGTGATCCACTCACCTCGGCCTCCCAAAGTGCTGGGATTACAGGTGTTAGCCACTGTGCCCTGTCACTTTTCATTCTTCTTAAATGAACTGGTTAGAATCTAAAATATGTTCATTGTTTAATGAAAAATGGGTTCATGTTCTTGACTTTGATTGCTAAATCAGAAACATAAAAAGTAGGACATGTTGGCCATATGCAGTGGCTCACTCCTGCAATCCCAGCACTTTGGAAGGCCAAGGCAGGAGGATCACTTGATGTCAGGAGTTCGAGACCAGCCTGGCCAACGTAGTGAAACTCCATCGCTACTAAAAATATGCAACTTAGCCAGGCATGGTGGCGGGCACCTGTAATCCTAGCTATTCAGAAGGCTGACGCAGAAGAATCTCTTGAACCCAGGAGGCAGAGTTTTCAGTGAGCCAAGATCACGCCACTGCACTCTAGTCTGGCAACAGAGTGAGACTTCATCTTAAATAAATAAATAAATAAGTAGAAAAAGTAGGACGTGTTTGTCAAAAGAGCCATGTTAAAATTTCTCAGAGCTTCAATAACTTTAAATTCTTCTTGATATGAAAAGACAAGTATTACTACTTAGATTTTATTAAGTGATACATGCATGATACATTTTATTAAATACTACATTCATGAGTTCCTCATGTAAATTTCACTTAAAGTTACTTAAATTTAATAAATACTATTTAAATAACCATCAAGGCCTGTGGGGGTACAGTACATTTTCATATTGGTGTTGTCCTGCATGTTGGGTCTCTTATGTTGTTCTACATTATCCAGGCAATTCAAGGAACAGGAGAGGCAGATGCCCAATAAACATTAGTAAACATATTCATCCTTTCTAGTAATCAGGGAAATTCACGTTAGAATAAAAAGGAGAGGCCATTTTATACTCATCACATTGGCAAACATTTTAAAGTCAAATGTGAATTTGTAGGAAAAGGGACAGTTTTATGTATTACCAGAGGAGGTTAAATTGTTAGAACCACTTTGGAGAGCAATTTAGTCCATATAATAAAGTAAATGTTGCATACTTCCTACAATCCAGCAATTCCACTCCCCTTCAGTTAAAAACCTGGCTGCACATTAGATTCATTATCCCAGTGGGTTATCAACCCATTGCCCTATTAAGAAAATATTTTTGTTTCTTTTGAGGCAGGGTCTTGTGCTGTTGCCCAGGCTGGAGTACAGTGGAACGATCAAGACCCACTGCAGCGTTGACCTCCTGAGCTCAAGTGATCTTTCCACTTCAAGCTCCTGAATAGCTAAGACTACGGGTGCATGCCACTATGCCCAGTTGTTTTTTAATTTTTTGTGGAGATGAGATCTTGCTATGTTTCCCAGGCTGGCCTTGAACTCCTGGGCTCAAGTGATACTCCCATCTTGGCCTCTCAAAGTGCTGGGATTGCAGGTGTGAGCCACTGTGCCCAGCCCCATGAGAAAGTCTTGCACATGTACATAAGAAAACAAATTCAAAAATTTTCATAACATTGCTTATAACAAAAAAATGGAAATAACATAATGTCCATCAACATAAGTATAGAGAAATAAAATGTATAGTCATTCAGTAGAAAACTAATAAAACTGTGGACAACTCTGGCACATGCAGCATGATTAAATCTCCCAAATACAGTTTTGAGAAGTAATAGGCAAAGAACACATACAGTGGAATTCTACATAGCAATTAAAATGAATAAACTAAACCTATAAATCAATCCTGTCCTAGTTTTCTACGGTGTCTATTAAAAAAGTTACTAGGCCAGGCATGGTGGCTCATGCCCATAAGTAATCCCAGCACTTCGGGAGGCCAAGGCGGGTGGATCACCTGATGTCAGGAGTTCGAGACCAGCCTGGACAACATGGCAAAACCCCAACTCTACTAAAAATACAAAAATTATCTGGGCGTGATAGCGGGAGCCTATAATGCCAGCTATGCAGGAGGCTAAGGTAGGAGAATCGCTTGAATCCGGGAGGTGGAGGTTGCAGTGAGCCAAGATGGCACCATTGCATTCCAGCTTAGGTGACAGAGTGAGACTGTCTCAAAATAAGTAAACAAATGACAAAGATAAAGGGATAAGAATGTATCAACCTAACTTACTCTTGCCTTAGAGAACAAAGAAACAGGAAAATTAAGTCAAATCTACTCCTTTGCAC